GCCTGACAATGAATTTCGTAAAACCTTTTACCGCAGAGTGCGCTTCGCGAGTGGCGCGCGAGGGGTCGGCGGTGCGGGGTCGCGGGGTCGCGCGGCGGGAGCGGAGAAAGTGGGAGAGACAGAGAGAGAGAGAGAGAGAGAGAGAGAGGGGATACGCGGGGGTAGGAAAGAGAGACAGAGGAGGAGCAGCGGAGCATGCCCTTTCGTGCACGATCCCACGCATGCATTGGCGGCTCGGGAGACGCCAGACGACGTCGCGGTATTAATCACTGTCTACCGGCATCAAGCGGAGCAGCGGCGGCAGAGAGCCACCTCCCGTCTTCTCCGTCGCGGCCGAGAGGATCCCGTGATACTCGAAAATCAGTTACTCCGCTCCGATTAAAACGACGCGGTAGGCGCGCGCGAGGATTGAGATTGATTCCAGGCGCGAGCGACGAAAACATGCCCCCTTCTCTCTCTCTCTCTCTCTCACTCTCTCTCTCTCTCCCTCTCTCTCTCTCTTTCTCTGTGCCTCGCCGTCTCTGCACGTCCGATGGTGGGAAGAGGGAATGGTTACGTAGATTGTAAAGAGAAAACAGTTCTCTCTCCACCATTCTCTGCCCTCCCCCCCCCGTTCCAACTCCTATTTTTCAGTATACGATCGTGTATTTTCCGCAAGAACTCACCGTACTGCTTGGCGTGGGGATGAACGCGTGTTGTCTTCCTCCCCTTTTTTTTTCTCTCTCTCTCTGTCTCTCTCTCTCTCTCTCTCTCTCTCTCACGCTTTCTGTCTTACTTCTCGCGTTGTTGTAATTCCTCTCGGTACTCAAGTAAAACAGAGAGGAACGTTAAGCGCGCGAGAGTCTTCCCGTTTTATTTCCCCGCGCTGAGACGCTGACTGGTTTACTTTTCCCAAGTAACCGATCCGATTCCATTCGCGTTCGTCGTAGCCACGGAATGCCATTTCGCCGTCGAATCTACCGGGCGGCCGCTCGTTTCCCGTGCCAACAGCTATCGCAGCTATTTTACTCGCATCGCCGTGAAAATCGCGCCTGCCGTAAAAGGGATACTCCGCGCGCGTTGTCTGAATTGTAAAGGACCGCTAACCGGAACGGAGAGAGTGAGAAGAGAGCGAGCGAACGGGAGGAAGAGAGAGAGAGAGAGAGAGAGAGAGAGAAACAGAGAAAGGGACAGAAAGATATCCGCAAAATCCACCCACCCGTTCCGGCGAGTTACGAGGAACGTATCGGGATAGCTGCGGGAGGATCAATCGGATTTTTCTGCGGCGCGAGCGAGCGAGCCGCGCCGCACCAGTCCGCTCTCTGCACACAATGACGCGAGAGCGACGGTATCGGCTCGTTGAATCCTGGCTAGCCACGTAATGGGTATCGAGAGACATCGTTAAGCGTCGATCGCCTCTCCCAAAGTGGCCCGGCGCCTTGATTCAACCCTCCGCCGGCCTCCTTTCACCCCTTTCTCCATCTTTCTCTCTCTCTCTCTCTCTCTCTCTTTCTCTTTCTCTCTCTCTCTCTCTCTTTCTATTTATCTATCTCTCTGTCTGCCACTCTCCACTTCCGCCGACTCGCAGCGAGCATGGGTGCTGTAAAGCTATGTCGGTACACGTTGGCTATAGATCGCGATGGAGTCTGCGGAAGTGGTGGTGAAGAAGGAGGAGGAGGAGGAGGAGGAGGAGCAGAAGGAGATGGAGGAAGCGAGAAAGAAGCGAAAGCGAGCGAACGACAACGAACGGTGGCGGAGGACGAAGATGAGGGGGCGAGAGACGGAAGACACAGAGAGAGAGAGAGAGAGAGAGAGAGAGAGAGAGAGAGAGAGGAGAAGTAGAAGGAGGAAGAGAGAGAAGGTTAAGGAAGGTGGATGCGCGGAGGTGGAGAGGAATGGGGGATAAACCATGATGTCGTTGATTAATATGGTTTACCAGTAAGTGTAACGGAGTGTGCAGAACACGCGCTCGCGTTCGTCCTCCATCCCCTTTCGCCTTCCACTACTAGGACGGTTGCTGCCTTTCCCCTCTTTCGCTCTCTCTCCCTCTGTCCATCTATCTCTATATCCACCACCTCCGCCGTCTCCATCGCCACCGCCACCGCCACCACCGCCGCCGCCGCCACCACCGCCGCCGCCGCCACCGCCGCCGCCGCCACCGCCACCATCGCCATCTCCACCGCCGCCGCCAGCGTCGCGCACACCACCTCCGCATACATCGTCTCCGAGCGGAAGCGGAGGAGATACCTCCCTCCACCCCCGGCGAAATTCGTTGCACCAACCGGGAGCCACGTGCCGATCAATGGCGTCTTGCCGCTGGTTGGTCGAGCCAGGAACAACCCCTCGCTCGCTTCTCCGTCTCTCCCTCTCGCGCACCATCGCCACCCCCGCACATTCTCTCCCTCTTTCTCCTTCCTCCCCCTCCCCTCTCTCTCTCTCTCTCCTTCTCTCTCTTTCGCCTCCTCCTCGTCCTCGTCCTCTTGCTGCTAACGCTCCGCCGTCACCGCTGCTGCTCCCCTGCACCTACCGCCCCCCTCCGCACTTTCTCTCCTTCCTTTTTACCCCGCGCGAAGGCTCGCCGCGTACCCTCGAGGAGGGTTGATCCCATAAGAGAGGGCGAGCTTTTCTTATGAGGAGCATTGATTGCCAACACCCTCCTCCCTTCACCACCCACCGACCCTCCGCTACCCTCTCCTCTTCCTCCTGCACCACCGACCTGTGTTATCTCCCTACCTCCCCCGCGCGCTCACCCTCTCTCTCTCTCTCTCTCTCTCGGGTTGTTCTACTGTGCCGCGATCTGCTTCCCACTACCACTTGCGCGAGAACATCTCTTTTCTCCTTTCCACTCGCACGCGTTGTGTCGCTGCATTATTTCTCCCACCTCTATTCTCGCTCCTCGTGCTGCTCTCGTTTGCCGCGACTCTCTCGCCTCTCTTCCCGGTTATGGGACAATTATTTGTCTATATGGGCGCGAGCGGGTGTTCCCGCTCGCGACGAGACGCGCGCGACAGCGATACCGCCCCCGCGTCCTCCTCCTCCTCCTCCTCCTTCTCCGCACCAGGCGAGATCGCGTCGAGATCGAATCGGCGAGGACGCGAGCCGCCAACGGAGCCAAGGAGCACCGTGCAGCGGAATTTCCGCGACGGATGCGTGGGTGTCTCGGCGCGGGGGAGGGGAAATTCTCGCGCAAATACCCCCGCGCGTTCTTACTCGCCTCGGTAATGAAATGTGTTTACGAAGGAAAGAATCTTCGCCGGGATCTTCCGGGACGTTATGCAGATCGCAACGCCGCGACCGCGAACAAGAGGGATTAGGAGGCGCAGGGCGGGGCGGGGAGGGGAGGATAGGGAATGGAGCGGCAGATGAAGCGTCGCGCGCGGCGCGGAATAACTCGCAAACCACCACAGACATTCATGTCATGAGAGAACAAGTTTATTCGATATATCGCTACCACAGTTTCTGGCTACACAGTAATCGCTACCTTACAATATACCTTTCGCTTTAGACTATCTTTGATTAGCACTGACTGTTGTTTATCTCGGGAAGGTAATATACAGGTCTCTACAAACAACTACGTCCGCTTCGCTTCTACGCTTCTCGCTTCTCGCGAAATCCAGAGGAATTACGACGTAAATGGAATTATCTCTCGTCGAAACCTGCCGGTAAGCATCAAACCGAATCCGTTCCGCCGTTTCCCTTCGTTGCGATCGCGCGATCGCCCCCTCTCGCTCTCTCGCCGCATCTCCTCCCTCCCTCTCTCTCTCTCTCTCTTGATCCCTGGAGTCATGATGATGGATTCTATTTGATGATTACGGTCATCGTACACGTGGCAAAGATCTGAAATCGATTAATGTCGTCGGTCGACCGACGAATCTTCCTTCTCCTTCTTTTTTTGTTTTTAAGGCATATAAGAGTAGTAGCCGACTCGAGACGAGTTTCTTCGCGTTACTTGCAGACGGGGATCAAAATCGATATAATCTCGGCGGGTTCGATTCTCGAACGTGAGGAGAGACATCGCGAGATCAGCCCACTCTCGCGCGAGATGTCCCGAACACCCGGCGGATTCGCGCGTTTGGTCGTTGCGCCTCGTGTCCGGCCGTACCTCGCTTTTTCTACTTGGCGCATCGCGGCCCGAACTTCGAAAGCTTCGTTCGCGCGACTCACGACGCGGCTCTGCGACGTGATCGGCTACATCCGGAGGCGATTTTTCGCGGGGATCGCGGGTCGGGAAAAATCTGATCGATCGTCTAATCGAACGAGAAGAAGGACAGAAAGGAAACAAGTGGTCACACGTGAGCGGTCGATCGAGAGATGATCGACCGTCCCGTCGCTGAAAATCTGGACTCCCCGAGATTATACCGGTGTCGACACCCGTTCGTGTGGTGAATGTTACAACGGATTGCGGATGCATACTCGATCCCGTTCGCGCGGCAGCACGGCGAGCGGATCGACCGATCGACCGAGCGTATCGAGCGATTGAATATACAGCGCATCAGGCACGTGTTGGTCCGTCGCGTCTTCTTCTACTCGTGTGGAAGGAAACGAAAGCACTCACTCACTCTTTCTCTCTCTCTCTCTCTCTCTCTCTCTCTCTCTCTCTTGCTCTCTCTTTCTTTCTCTCTCTCTCTCTCTCTCTCTTGTGAACCCTTCGTTACGTATCCCTTTCTTTTCTTCTCGCGGGCCCCACCGACGCGCGCGTTTCCGCGTCCTTTCCCCGTCGCCCTCGCCACGCTCGCTTTTATTTATCATTTTGCATTATGTACACAACGTGTCGCGGCGCATCAACATTTCCTTTACGATATACGCTCGTAATGAAATCCGAGATGTCGGCAATTGCAGTTCGCCCTCCATTTCCCATGGAATTGTTCGCTTCCCCCCTCTCTCTCTCTCTCTCTCTCTCCCCCCCTCCGTCTTTCTTTCTCTTTCTTCTCTTTGCTATGAATAACGGACTTGTCAACCTCGTTACATTACGTGTGGAATTCAACGACTCTCTCTCTCTCTCTCTCTCTCTCTCTCTCTCTCTCTCTCTCTCTCTCTCTCTCTCTCTCTCTCTCTCGTGGAAACGTGGTAGTGTGTGGTGGTAGTGGTGTAGCGTGAATGAGTCGGGCTCGCGAGTTCACGAGGCAATAAGGCAATAAATAAACGAGCACTCCGCGTAGAATGGAGATTCGAACGTTATCGTGGATTAAATATATGCGAGAAGAAGAGGTTTATGCGTGTGGATGAGTGGGTACTACTGAAGATTATCGTGAGAGATGCGCGCCGCGCCTATTTACACTGTCCGCGGTTGTAACCAAGTAATCTGCGGGATTGATCGACGGTGCTGCATTGTTCGACGCTTCATTTCTCGCACACGTGTGACTCGGTGATGTCGGCGAACGTATGTGTGTATCTCGCTTCGCTCCGTCGACAAGCGAGACTTCAAGCCCAGGTGATCGGCGCCGAAGCGACAAACTTCAAGGATGTCGAGGAGCGAATTTGCGCCTTGCCGAGAAAAAGCGACGGTGAACGACGTCCTTCGAACAGTCGAGATACTTACACTCGTCGTCTGCTCGGACACCGTCGGTGTTCCACCGAGATCGGGAAGATACGAGAAATCAGGATGCGATCGTAAGAACGAACTCGAAACCAGAGGCTCATGAGCGACGCGGTGTCGACGAGTCCAGTTTTCGACGCCGCAGACACGGAGGAGGACGCGAAGCCCCGGCCGCTCCGCGTCTGGACCCAACGTTGGTTGACGTGCAACGCAGGACTCTTCATGCCCGCGCAGACAGAAGAAACCGGTTCGTGCGGTGGATTTTCTGTCGCCTGCCGAGACCGGACGAAAACTCGGTCGTAGGGATAGCAAGATTGCCGCAGAGAGAGAGAGAGAGAGAGAGAGAGAGAGAGAGAGAACGGTAATCCCGAGCGAGTTGTAACCACGACGATAACAGTAAACTCCTGTTCCACCCGCGCTCCAAATTGCTCACGAAAAGCAAAACGTTGAAGAAAGAACGAAAAGGAGCACGAGACGATTGCGACGAACGATTCGCTATTTTTCAATGAACCTTTTATCGTTCAACAGACGTATCGTGTTACGGTCGAACGTTCAGACGTTCAATCGTTTCCCATCAACGAGTTTCCGTCCGGTCACTGTTCAACGACCTGCACGAGCAGAGACTTCCTCTCTCTCCCTCTCTCTCTCTCTCTCTCTCTCTCTCTCTCTCTCCTCTCTCTCTCATACGCGGTCTCGACATCCGCGACTCACCGCGACCGTATCGCGTCAACCGCCCGGACCAGCGCGATTTGCGAGCGTTCGGAACGCTTTCGGCTTCGACTACACCGTGTCTACGAGACGACAACGACGACGACTTCGGCGCGGAGATCCTAGGGATCCTCCTTGGTGCTGGGCTGTATCTGGTGCACCACGCTAGGTAGGTGATGGTGGTGATGGTGCTCCGGTCGCCTGGAGAGCCCCAGCAACGGCGGCAGCAGCGGCAGAGGCAAGGGCAGAGGTAGACCGCCGGGGAAGCCGGCGAGGCCGCCGAGTAGCGCCGAGGCCGTCGAGTGCTCCTGAGCCTTCCTGCGGAGCTCGGCCAGGCTGTTGCTGCGGTGGAGGTCGCTGCCGGTGCCGGGCTTGCAGCAGCCGCAGATGGAGCCGGGCCAGCCGGTCGGCGACCAAGAGAGCATCTCCTGCAGACTGCCCGGCCGGTGCTCGCTGCTGGTCCACAGCGACGGCGTCGTCGAGGTCAGCGATGTCGACGCAGCGCTGCTGACCACCTTGTTGGCGAACAGCGGCGGCGAGAACTGCGCGGCCAGGTGCGGCGAGAAGAAGAGCGACGTCGGCGGCTCCACCGGCCTGAAACCCGCGCCTATTCCCGTGCTGCTGGAACAAGTTAGACGAGGGGGACGGGGGTGAGTTTCGTCGCACATGTCAGGCTAAAGTTGAGCGTGCGTATGTAAATTACCAGGACTGCATAATAAAAAGTACAACGATAAGAATGTAGCATAAAGTACGAAAAATATGTGCAATAAAGACGGGAAGATAAAAATGCGAGAAAAAATAAAGAACAAGTGACGAAGAAGGTCGAGATTGGAAATTGTGAAAAAAAAGAAATTGTTTCTTCGGCAAAATTCTCGTCTTTGGATGGTGGAAGTCTCTCGGTGTAACGATGTCAGCTGGCGCCCCGGTTAGGAGGCTCGTCCTAGTTTAGATTTTTCAACTAGAACAAGAGTGTGTTTCGTCCGCCAAAACGCCGTGTCAAAATAGAGCGTATTAACGTGTCTCGTGAATAAGAGCCGCATTGTCGTTACTTGAAACTTTCCTCAAGCGAGACCCTGAGTGAGGTTTGAGTCTGAGTTGGATGCGGGTTGTTCAATTGAGTCGCGACTGAATTGAGAGCGTAACGTCGCATTTTTCAAGTAACGACTCCGTCCGTCAAAATTGACGGACGCAATTCTGATGACGGAACACAACACACCGCTCTGTCTTTTATTTCATTTTCACGTCAACGTCAACGTCAAGTCCACCATAGCACGGTGCGGCGCACGATGTTCCAATCGACACGCCGGAAACTTAACTCGTCGGATCTTAACTCGTCCGCGAATTAATGCTATTTCAGGCACGGGCGTGATTATCGCCAAAAGGACGTCGCAATTTCGCGCGATTCCAACTACCCAAAGGAGAGAAAGCGAGAGAGACGGCGAGCAGGGCGCGCGAGAGGAGGAGTACCGTGCGGAAACCGTGCGAGGGTGAGTAGGAAGGATAGAGGAAAAGGGAGAGATGGAGAAAGAGGGGGAGAGAGAGAGAGAGAGAGAGAGAGAGAGAGAGAGAGAGAGAGAGAGAGAGAGAGATGGTGAAGGAGCCGCAGCCTCGCAAGCGCTAATCCGATTAGCACGCGCGATGTTCCGCATCCTCCGAGAGGAGCGGAGGCTGCTTTGAGGCGCTGATGATTATCTCAAATATTAATCGCAAATATTGTTTAATTAATGTAACGAGCTCGAGTCGGTGCTCGAGTCGGAGTCGAGATCAAGGGTAGGAGCGAGAAGGGTTGGAGAAAGAGGAGGAGAGGGCGAAGGGGGAGGAGGATAGGACGCACGGGGGTGAGCAAGAGTTAGGGCAGACAGCCCACGGCATTTAGGTCGTTAGTGGGGTGGAGGGTGGCGGGGGTGGGAAGACGCTGCAGTTCGTCGGCAGGCCGGAGTAGCGGATTTCAGGTGGTTGCCCGGGGGGTAAAGCGGTGCAGGGGGGTGAGTGGAAAACCACGACGAACGGGGGCGTGGGAGACGGCAGCGGCAACGACGACGCCGTCGCGGAAGCTACGACGGTGGCGGCGGTGGCGACGGCGGCGGTGGTGGCGGCGGCGGCGGTGGCGGCGACGGCGGCGGCGGCGGCGGCGGGCGGCGGCGACGGCGGCGACGGCGGCGGCGGCGGCGGCGGCGGCGAGAGGAAGAGCCGAACCGCGGTAAGCGCGATAATTAGCGGCAATTAGCCGCGTAGTCTACCGTGCACCTTGCTTACGTACGCTCGTTTGCCTTTCGTGTGCATACACACACACACACACACACACACACACGCACATGCTCACACATACGGATATACGCGTCGCATATACGTGCGAGTAGATGCATGTGCATACACTCGTACGAGCACCGATGAGCGTACCGACGGCGCGTTCACGTGGTGGACGAGGATGGCGTCGGTGATTCGACGCGACTTATCGGTGCACGCGTGCGAGCCGACCACCCCTTATCGACGCGCCGCTCGACACTTGAGCCACGGTGTCGTGTTACGGTACACAAAGGGTGATGAAGGCTGAGGCGCGGATTACGATGCAGCGAGATTGATACCGCCTCCTCCTCCTCCTCCTCCGCCACTCCCGGGATTCGAGCGCGAGAAATCGAGCGCGCTTCGTTATTCATTTTTATCAATTTTTTCTTTCACGTGTAAGCAGACCGGCATTAAAGTCTTCATGCGTGAAGTTAGGCTGTGTAGGAAGGGGCTATTCCGCTAAGTTTTAGGGGAAGATCCGATCGAAGGTTGCTGCGCTTTTCTTCGATGATGTCTCGTCGAACGCGTCTCGTGTCCGATAAGAAAGTGATGGATCTCCGGAAAGTCGTGAGAAAAATAATTCTCCTATCGGCTGCGGAATATGTTGGAAAATTCATCCGAGAAAAATGTTGCGAAGGAAGGAAGAATTCGCTCTCCAATGGGAGACTTCTCGGACAAGACGGTTGCGTTCCGAGAAAGTCAGGCGAAAATTTACGAACAACCTTGTCGTCCACGACACACTCCGTGTATTCTCCGCGGTCTCATCTTTTCGTCATCGAACCACCTCATCGGTTCTTCGTAACATTCATCAATTCGACTCGCTCTCTTCACCGCCTCCGTCGCGCGGAGGACAAAAGGACCCGATGACGAGACACAAGGCGTTCGCGCCGGATCTGCCTCTACGGCACGAGGAGAGCAAGAAGCCGCTCTTAAGGTAGCCGCGCGGCGGGGTAGCAGCCAAGGTAAGAAGGAACGCGGAGCTTACAGCCGCCCCCGTCGCTCCTCGTGCTTCTCCGCAGTGCCGCTGCCGCGGCCTCCGGAGGAGCTACCGTGCCTCTGAATAAATGATGGGGATATATTTACGGCGAGCGGTTTTAAATAAATTACAACTGCGGGGACGGCGAAGGAGTATCTTCCTGCCGTTTCTTCTTTACCTTTTCCCTCGACCCCGGCCTGCCCCCGGTCGCTCTCATCCCTCTCTGCCTACCGCGGCCTGCCACCGCCGCCGCCGCCGCCCCCGCCCCTTGCGCTCGTCCCGCCGACGTTGGCGGTGTCTACTAACGTACCTCACGGTGTATTACGCGGTGTCTACTACGTTTTCGGCATTCTTCTCCCGCCTCCACGTCGATCCGCGAAGAGCCGACCGCGTCTCGTCTCGGGGATTATAAACGAACGCTCGGTCGTGGAAAGGCAGCCCGGCCGCGCGGGATAAATCGCCCTTTTCCGATATTCTTCGAACGCGCTCGAGCCCTCTTATGAATACGTGTCTGTGTGTGTGTGTGTGTGTTGTGTGTGTGTGTGTGTGTGTGCGCGTGTAATCGGCGAATATATACACTCGTTTGCAGAACGGTTGGATATCTCCCTTCGTATCGACGCACTTCGAAACGCACTTGACGTTCAATAAGAAAATCCTCTGAGAAAACAAATTGTTCCTTTGGACACCTCCTGCGCTTCGAAATGCGACGGGGAAAAGGTGAAGCCGCGTGGAGAAACAAAATCAGTTTCTTTCTTTTTCTTTTTTTATTGAAAAGACGGCGCGGGAAATTAGCCAAAATATTGTCAAAGTCACTTTCGAAAATGTCCTTATTGTGTCGGCATCTTTCGGGACTTCCGTAGATTTTGGTAAATTATAAAAACGTCGTTATTATATCGACATATTAGACGTCCAGTACCGATATTACAAAGATGCAGCCGAATGCAACAGTAGAACCGCCAGCTATGAAATAATTTCGACATTCCGCCCGCGATGCGAACTGTTCTGCAAACGAGCGCACTTTCCTGTCCCTCCCCCCCTCTCACCCCTGCAGTCTTTTCATCCCTCCGCGGAGTTGTGTCACGTCGAGTAAATATTTTTGACACGCGTTCGTATTTACTCCCAGATATCGCGAATTCTCGAATGTTATCGCCTCCGTCGCGCAGCAACATCCTCGCTTCCTCCGCGCGCATAGCAAACGTTGAACGACCGGCCGTCTGGTTCCGCGAGACTCAGCTTCGACCCCGGCGTCCGCAGCGAGGAGAAAGATAAAGCGAAGAGCGGCGCGCGTTCTCCTCCTCCGCCTCGCCGTCGCCGTCGGCGTGGAAGTTGCAGTTTAACGAGGCGACGATTATCGCGATTATACGAGTGGCGATGACGGCGCGACGCGACGCGACGCGACGCGACGTGACGGAGCGGAGGCGGCCGCTCTCGCGGGAGGGAAGAAGTGGCTTAACCAGCGAACGTCGGCAGCGCCGTCATCACGAGTAGTGGTTTAATGGCGCGTGTCGAGCATCCGGCCCGGCGTGTTCAGCGGCGCTTGCACCCGCTCTCGCTGAAATCGTCCGGGAGTTTATAAGGGGTGGACGCGCGCGCGGCCGAGCGCCGGGGCCGCGGGTGCAGCGGCGGGAGGGGGTGCCGGAGAGGGATCGAGAGAGAAAAGGAGAAAGAAAGAGACAGGAGGAACTACGAGCAAAGGGGCCGGGGAGGGGGGAAGATGTTTCCTAAAGACGTAAATACAAACGAAGCTAAAAGCTCACCTCTCGGCGGGCGGTCCGAGGCCCCCCACGGTGCTCGCTGACGGCGGTGGCGCCCTTATGGGGGTCGGTGGTGGCGTCGAGACGCCACTCAGGGACGGCTGACTTGGCTGGGGCCGAGGACTGACCGAGGCGGAAGTCGTGCTGGGGCTCCTGGAGCCGCCACCACCCTCCGGCACGGCGTCCTCCGTGTCGGCGGCGCTGCTGCTGGTCGTACCTTCTGGGTCGTTCCCCGTGGGACTTGGACCCGCTGACGAAGACGTCGGCGCGGTTAAAGCTGAAGACTCCACGTTACCGCCGCCGCCGCCGCCGCCGCCACCACCACCGCTGCCTCCGCTGCCGCCGCCGCCGCCGCTACCAACACTGGAACTACCGCTACCACCGCCGTTGCCAGCGGCGCTGCCGCCTTCGCGTTTGCGTTGCTCCTCCTTCAGCCGTTCGCTCTTACGCCATTTCGCCCGGCGGTTTTGGAACCACACCTGAAAATTGCCGCGGTTACGGTCAACTTGGCTCGTTCCTCGCTTCCGACCCACGGAAGGCGCTCGCATTAGCGTTAAAGATAAGGAAACGCGGTAGAGCGGCTACCGAATTACTCACACTTGGAAAAATGTATTGTTGCGTGAAACCAAATTTTGTTGCAACAACAAAATAATTTGGTTAAAATATGCCCAACAAAACTGTTTAGTTCCTGTAAACAAATGTCTTGCTTGATTACGGTTTGTTTGTATAACGTAATACTTTTGTTATAGCAACCAAAAAGCTTCAACTATATGAGTTTTGTTAAAAATACTATAATTTTTTCCTAATATATAAAATGTAAATTTTAGTGCATAGAAAGACAAAATAGCATCCATTGGGCATTATTTTAGTTTATGTAAAATAATATTTCGTTATTATGTCATTTTTATGGATAAAATAACTAAAATGCTTAATTTTTATACACGAAGTCTGAGAACAAAATCATTTGGTCCAGAGAACAAAGCAGAAAAATAGATTTAGTTGAGACAACTAAATATTATGTTATATGAAACAAGATATTTGGTTGCTATGAAAAAATGCCTCAACTAAACAGTTTTGTTAGAGATACTAAATTTTTTTTCCTAGTGCAGAGTCGAGCGACTTTCCACTCGTGTTAAGCTCCGTCTTTGGATCGTCGAGTGAATGTCTTGCTTCGAAATGGAAGAGCGAAGCTAATGTAGTTTCGCTAAAATAAGTTCGCTCTAATGTATGTAATTACTTCTGAGACGTACGTTCGTATGGATTAGGAACCAATCCACCTAAAGTTTCGCTCAAATATTCACTCCCTCTCTCCCTCCCTCCCTTTCCCTTGTGATTCCCAATGCTGGAGTTTTCATCCCCGCTGTAAGTGAATTTCCGCTCGTTCCGAGCAAAATTTCATCTCGAGATATTTAGAGACCACCGTTGCCCTCAATTTTTCTCCTTCACTCTCTATACAGAAACGGCTCTGTACAGAAGTCTGCTTCAACTTTCGAGTTAAACTCGGCCTTTTTGCGTTCAACGGAAACAAATTGCTCGCCACTGTAATCGAGCGTGATCGCTGTCGTCGTTCGTCGTTCGATTCTTCGCGATCGTTCCGGCTTACAGAGTCGAAGAAGACAGACATCAAGCCGAACCGCTATCGTCGTAGACCGTCTCACCTTAGCGGTCTCTCATTATAATAATATTAAAACAAATAAAATAAAAATAGAGAAAAGGATGCGCGAGAGCGCAAGGACCCCGAGCTTCTCTCGATCCCGGCGCGGCCGGCGCGGCAGTTCTCTGATTCAATAGACGTCCCGACGTCGCAGCCGTGCGACGCCGAGTGCGCTGCGACGTCGAGAGGGTTAAGTCTTCCGAGAGTCGACCGCTGCGCGACAGGGATGCGGAGGGGAGCGTAGGGAAAAAAACGAGACTACGCGGTCACCGACGGTCGTATTCGCCGTCGCGCAAATGCGCAAGGATAATTGCATGCTGCGGGGGCGGCATTCTGAGGCAGAGGAAAGCACGAGAGGGTGCGGCGGGTCGCGGTAGACGAATGGTCGGAGGACGAGGCCGGGGGGAGCGCGGGGTAGAGGGAGAGAGACGGCCGCACTTTCCGCCGTGCATGTTCAACGAGCCGACAGCAAGCACGGCGGCCGAGTGTTTTTTAAAAAGCTCGAGTTCCGCTAACGAGGCTAACTTGACATAATACCGGCTGAAATAGACTTTATTACACCCGGCGGCTCTCTTTCTCTCTCTCTCTCTCTCTCTCTCTCTCTCTCTCTCTCTCTCTCTCTCTCTCTCTCTCTCTCCGCGATACTTTTGCGCCCGAGGACGGCTGCACAATAACCGGGTTCCTGTGCGCCGGCGTCTTCGTGCGCGTCGTCTACGCACGCTACACGCTCAAACGTCGCACGCAGGGACCTCAGAACTCTCTGAAGTGCCGAGGAGAGAGCCACTTGGTTCACGCTCGTTCGACAGCTGTGATTATGCGAGAGTCCTTCGCGCGCGCGCGATGTATATCTTCTCTTCCGCAGCGTTTTCCCTCTCCGCAGTACGGATCCGATCCGGAATTTCCGAATAGTCACACGCGGGGGTGGGTATGATACAACGGTAACGACGTAGTATCGAGTAACAAGCATCGCCAGCTTCCCGACGAGTGTCGGAAGCCACCGCGAAATTCGCCTACGAGAGCCTTGACGAGAAGCCACAAGGCAGACCCTGTGTGCAACGGGCCCGGAAAATGATTATCTTACGCTCGAGCTCGGAATTTTCGGCGCAGGCGAGGGATGTAGCTCGAGGGAGGGGAGAAGAACGGTTTAATAAAATAAATACGACGGGTGCGACTCCCGCGGCCACGAAGTCGAACATCTCGCGAGGGGCGAGAAGGAGAGAGGAGGGCAGACGGCGGCAGGCAGGGAAATATAATAATATCCTAAGGGTTACGCGGAAGGAGGGGCGAGTAATAGCTGGGAACAAAGCATGGTTCCGTAGGGACCGCCGCTAGAGAGCGTCGCTCTCTCCTCTCCACCCCCTCGCGATATATCTTTCTCTGCCTCCCTCTCTCTCTCTGCCTTCCTCTCTCTCTCTCTCTCTCTCTCTCTCTCTCTCTCTCTCTCTCTCTCTCTCTCTCTCTCTCTCTTCCCCTCGCTCGCATCGCGTTCTCTTATTTTTCCAACGCGAATTTAATCCGAAATTTCCCGCTGATAATGACGCGACTCGACCTCCGTGTCGTCGCTGAAACGTTTTCAATCGGGCTCGCCCTGTCGCCCTCCCTTCCGCCACCAAGCACCACCGCCACAACCACCACCTTCAACCCTCTCGTCAAACGCACGCGGACGCGTTGCTGTTTTGTCGCGGAATCACCAGCTATCGCTGCGATGCGCTTTTCACGCTGTAAATGATAACTAGCGCGCGTTACAACGACCCGTGCAGCGCGACAATCGCGAGCACGTGGGATGCTAAAAAGCAGACCGCAGCTTTTCCTCCCTCTCTCTCTCTTTCTCTCACTCGTTCTAACCGGTCTGATAAAAATCCTATTTTCCCTCGCGCGCACGCTCACGCGGCGCGCCGCGTTTTCCGGAAGGATGCAGGCGGCGGCGTTTTCCGTTTGAAATGGCCGATCCGCGTTACCTGCGCCTCCCTTTTACACCTAACGACGTCAAAGGAGCGTAGATAACCGCGTCGGGAATAATCCGCCAGATTTTCGTCCGCGAAAAATAGGGAGAGCCCGCCGGCGCGGCGCGGCGCCGCTGCTGGCGGGCGTCGCGCGAGCGCAGGTGCGAACGGCGTTTGACGCGACGCGCGGCGGCGCGTCTAATTCACGCATGCCGGTAATTGCCACCTGTCCCGGCACACGTGCGCACGAGCGCGTCCTTGTGCACCGTGCGATGCGCGGATCATGGGTGTGTGTGTGTGTGTGTGTGTGTGTGTGTGGTGTGTGTGTGTGCGTGTGCGAGAGAGGAGGTACATGTACGCGCGGTTTCGCACAGCTCGCTCGCCGTGCGCGACAACGAGCGGGGGATGCATGTACGTGCCTCGACGATACAGCGAACCCTTCTTCAGGCCTCCTTCTCCCCGCACTGCCTCCCTCTCGGTCCGCCGGTTCCCCTCTAGGAGGTTCTAATTGGAGCAGGAGAAGAGGACGGGCGCTACATAAACGCGCCTATTTGTCCATTATTCCAGATTCCCTTTGTCTTCGCTAATGAAACAATGAGTCTGCGCCGTAATTGCGTCACAGCCAGACCAACCGGTCGCCCCACCCCCCTCCCGTCCCTCCTGCCAACTGACTATTTCTCCCGCCGCCGCCGCCGCCGCCGCCACCGTTGTCGCCGTTGTCTCCGTCGTCGTCGTCGTCGTCGTCGTCGTCGTCGTCATTCGCCTCTTCGCTTTCCTCCCTTCTGTGTCTTTCATTGTTGTTGTATGTACATACTGTCTCGTAAAGAGAAAGAGAGAGAGAGAGAGAGGGGGAGGAGGAGGAAGAAAGAGAGGGAAAAGAGAGAGAGAGAGAGAGAGAGACGCCGTGCGCTCAGTCTCCTCCTCCTCCTCCTCCTCCTCCTTCTCCTCCTCCTCCTCCTCCTCCTCCTCCTCCTCCTCCTCCTCTTCCTCCACCTCTCTCGTAATCCGCACAATGCACGCCAGGCTGCCTCCCGGACTCTCTGTGATCGAGGATCCTTCGCGAAAGTCCAGACATTAACGACGAGAGCGGAAGAGAGAGGGGGGAAGAGGGTGGAAAAGCGTCGGGGTTTGCGCGCGACTGTTCCGGGCGTTTGGCGAAGTGCGCGACTGGCAGGTGCGACGTCGGATTGAGTTCTCCGTGCGGCTCTTCAAATTAAACGAGCCGGACGCGAGAGCGAGCAAGTGCGACGTCGTCCCTTACGAAGGGACGCTCAGCAGGTCGAATGTCGTGACGGTCCATCCGGATGGAGCTGCGCTACTATCGCGTCCCATTAAGATTTGAGACTCATTAAGTTACATGTACTCGACGCCGCGGCGCAATCGACGCAGAATCTAATTAATTGTCAACAAGAGCGAAAAAAGAGCCTTCCGGCAGTCCGACTTTCCTTTTGTTCGGACTCGCAGACTCGGTACTCGTTTTGTTTCCGACAAACTGCATTTGGGGAATTATTTGGGTTACATAGTCAGCGGAGAGCTAACGAAACGAGACGAGCAGTGCAAATATTTGCGAGAGATATAGCGTACTCTTATTTGCCGTACTCTTAATAATCCAGTTTCCGCTCGAGCTTTTCGGCAACGTTGACAAACGGAACTGGCGCGTGGCGATTAAATAAACGGGAAGTATAATAGGACAAATTCTAATGGGGCAAACGACATAATCGTTCGCGGTGTACGAATGCAGCACTCTCATCACCGAATTGTTGTTACATGCTCCTGCTTGACACGCTCTGGAGGAATTTTATTTCACCAGCTTGCCGACGGCGATGGAGATGCCAATCCTCATATCGCTCATCCTGCGTCGTCGTTTCACCACCGAACCACGTGCTGCTTCTTTTTGCGGGACGTGCGCAAAGGAAAGCAAATCGGCGCGTCGCCACTCATCGATTACGATCGGCGTTCGATCCGTTCGGAAATCCAACGGAGATGCGCGGCAAAGTCGCGGCGGCGGCCGCGAGAAATCAAAAAGCCGCCATTGGTAACCAGATATCCTGCAGATGTTCCGACAGGATTTTAGGCGGGAATCGCTGTTGCTGCAGGGATTCTCAGCGCGAATTACAGCGGCGCGCGAGTAAATACGGCCGTGAGGACGGTAGCCAGGAGTACAAAGTAATCCCGGAGATTACCGGCTTACTCTGTCAGAAGATTACGTCAGGTCGAGGGTGTCAGCGCGCCCCTTGGGGTCCGGGGGCCTTCCACCTCTACCCTCCTCACCCTACCATCCGCCCTCTGCCCGGCCGCCCTTTCCGATCTACTCCCCTCTGTACACACTCTTGCTCTTACAGGCAACGTTACGCTACCACGCGTGGCCAGACAATCGATCACCGCCGCGACTCTTTCGCAGATTTTGCCCTCTTTTGTTCACTCATTTTTATTCACAATCACCGCCGCCGCCGCCACCGCCGCCGCCGCCGCCGTCGGCGCCGCGCGCGGAGTTGATTGATTCCGCGCCGGCCGAAATCTGCAGCAGTTCTTCGCGCGCACGCGGCGCGCTATTTTCACGGTCAAAATATAAATAATACGCTTTGCGCGTTCTCTAAATATTATAAACCCGGGCGGATAATTGGACGAGCACAGGAGCGGCAGCGACAAAAGTGGGCGGCAGAAGCTAAAAGCGGAAACGATATCTCGGTAATTTCGTTGAAATTCTGCTTCGGATCGCGGAATCCGGTTTGCGCGCATTTCCGCGAAATAATCATTTTGATACTAATGGAGATTAATTATGAAGGCGGCTCTAATACGTTCTCTATTGTGTGCGTCCTGCGAGAACACATCACGCGGGGGAAAAACACGCGTTGGGCGCGTTGAAAAATACTCTCGGAATTTGCCGTAATACTTGACGCTTGACGGGAGCGAGCGAGGAAAAAGGAAACGGAAAAAAAAAAAAAGATAAACAAGAAAGAGAGAAAAAAAGAACAAGGGGAGAGAGAGAAAAGGAGGAAAAACAGATGTTACCGGGTTGCCGCGCGTAATTTTCTCATCGTATTAAAACGCGGAATCCAATCTCAATGCACTGAGACGCATTAAAAGATTAAGGCCGGCGCTGCCAATGCCGCGCGGACGCGGGCATGCGAACGTTCTCTGAAGTTTTAATGCACGTGCTTTCACGTTATCGAATAAACGTGATTATACACAACGTGATTAGCATACTTTCGAGAGTACTCCGTTTTAATATATCCTTAAATATAATGCCCTCGCTCGCTCTCTCTCTCTCTCTCTCTCTCTCTCTCTCTCTCTCTCTCTCTCTCTTTCTCTCTCTCTCTCTCTCTCTCTCTCTCTCTCTCTCTCTCTCTCTCTCTCTCGTTCTCCGCGCGAACGCGTTGCTCCTCTCTGCAAATTTATTCGAGTCCGCCTTGCGCTCTATAATAAATCTTTTTATAATTTAACGAGATTACAAACCCATTGTGTCGGATTATAGTAAGCTACTTCGCGCGAAGGCAACGCTGAAAGCAAAGTAAGAGCGAACGAGAAAGGAAGGATGTCGTTATTAATAACAATTAAGATTAACGCGTAATCTCGGCCGCGGAATAGCCGCGAACTCTCCTAGGGATGCGACTCGAGACGATTCGAGGAGACTCGAGGCGATCGGCTCGCTCCTAATCGAATCGGCCCGATTCGAAGCGGACAAACGAATCGTCGCGTATCGCAATTGGCGCTCACCTGAACTCTGGCCTCCGTGAGATTAATCTTCATCGCCAGATCTTCTCGCGTGAAGACGTCCGGGTAGTGAGTCTGCGCGAAGGCGGACTCGAGCTCCTCCAATTGCTGCAGAGTGAAAGTCGTCCTGTTCCGCCGTTGTTTCCTCCTCACGAAGGAATCCTCGCCGACTCCGTGCAGTGCCGGGTGATAGGCGGAGTAGCTGGTGTCTGCAACGGAAGAAGCCGAAGAGGGATGAACAGTGGTCGTTTCCGCTTCTGTCGAGTGTGTATCGAAGATCGTTCGCGGGTCGCTCCGTGAAAAGTGATCGCGGTAACGCTCGTGACAATCGGCCGGTGTCGCCAAGTACCGCCACGCCCCGCCGCGCCGCGCCGTGCAAATCTTGAAACCAAATTCCTAATTTCTATCCGACTCGAGCGGAATTCAATTCAGAGCAAACTCCATTGATCGAATAACAAATTCAATTCCGAAAGTTCCGGGCTGCTTAACGGCTCCGTGTCGAACGGCTCGTTGATCAATCAACAACAATGTAATTGGTAATTCAGTCATCGAAAATATGCGGGATAAATGAGTATGATTTGAGAGAGACGTGTATCTTCCAACAGAGTTTTTATCAGCTCTTGAATTGCGACGAATGATCGAACGAGACACGGCGGCACAATAATTGCCGGTGTGACAATTGCTGGCCGTCATAGACACGTTGATCCGGAAGAATCGGTCGGGGAAATTGCCTCGACCCGCGAAATCGCACGGCGAAATAGCGCGAAGTTTCGTCTTTTAATTCTCGACAAATTCGAATTCGCTAAGTACCGCGCGCGGAACTTGCTTCGGCACTCCGCATATTTGACTGTGCTTCACTAGGGAGTCTGAGGGAGTCGAGTTTGAGAAACTCGATAACTTCGGAAAACTTCCGTGTTACTGACAATCTCGCGGAATTTTCAAATTTATACGCGTGAGTAAGCGTTATCGCACGAAGCAAAGTGATCAACGTCGTTAAACAGCAGCTTTCTTCGAGTCGATGGCTCGCGTTATCGGCTCGCTAGCGCGCGAGTAAATCCGTCGGTTGCGCGCTCAAAGTGAGAAAAAGGAAGCTCGCATACTCGAGGTTCTCGTCGTAATCCGGCGCCGATTTGAACGAAAATGCCATCGCCCGCGATCCGCTCGATCAGCGATTCGACTTTGTCCCGCTTGTTCGCGCTCCGTTGCGATCTCAAAACGCGCGCGCGCGCGCGCACGCACGCACACACGCGAGGCTCTTTCTCCCCCTGTCCCGCGGCTGCAATTACGCGATCGGTGGGCCGCGTTAATTAAAAATGTTCACGAAAGCGTACTCGGCTCCGATCGCTCGCTCGCACGCACCTGCGCGAGGCATCGAAAAGTGAAACGCCGATATCAAGGCATATCGGTCGGCTACGCGCGCGCGCACACACAACGACGAGACACGCGAGGTGGGAGCAGACGTTACGAAAGCCCGGAAACGCTCATCAATGATGCAGAGCAATCAGCGCAATTAATTACCGCGGCGCTAAGCCGGAGCTTAGCGAAAAACACAAATTAATTTCCTAAGCTCATAAAAATTCATGCCACTCTCTCTCCGCCGCCCGACCGCCGGCTCTCTATCTCTGTCTATTCGTCCCTCTCTCACTCTCTCTCTCTCTCCCTCTCTCTCTCTCTCTCTCTCTCTCTCTTTCTCTCTCTCTCTTTCCCTCCCTGCCTCTCTTGTTCACGCAATGTCTCTTGCTCCCTCTCTTTCTCTGTCCCTTTCTCTTTCTCTCTCGCACCCTTTCTCCCTCTTTTGTCCTCCCGAGAGAGAACGATAACGGTGACGGAGGGAAAGCGAGACGGAGTGATCGAGAGAGAGAGAGAGAGAGAGGGAGGGGAGGGAGGGAGAGAAGGAGAAAGAGAGAGAGAGAGAGAGAGAGAGAGAAACGACGGACGTTGCACTGTGGTTTTGTGCCATCAACTGCAACCGATGCATCCGTATAGTTGCATCCATATAGTTGCATCCATAGGGACGCATCGAGACTTAGTCGACGATGCCACTGAATTTTCATAACTGTCGCGGACGCAATTATACCGTTGGACGAGCGCGCGGTTCTCTCTTTCTCCTCTCTCTCTCTCTCTCTCTCTCTCTCTCTCTCTCTCTCTCTCTCTCTCTCTCTCTCTCTCTCTCTCTCTCCCCCCCTCCCCTTTCTCTCTTTCTCGTTCTCGCGGCCACGGTCAGGTACTACGAGATCCGCCGTATCGTTTGCAAAATTAATATTAACGGGGATTCGCGAGGATTTGCGCTCTAAGCCGCACGCGAAAATAAACGCCCGAGTCCCCCGATCCGTCCGCTGATATTTTATCAGCGCGTCTAACGACGTTGCCGCCGACTCGCGCGAGAGGGAGCGGCAGGGAGGGAGAGAGAGCGCCGCGCAAACTTCGGTCTCCGGTTGCGATTATCGCGCGCGCGGATTTGCAGTGAGCGCTTCCTGCGCGAAGTATGGGCCTTTCACATGAAATATACACTTCTGCTTCTTCCTCGGTTCTCGGGAAGCAGCGCGTCCGGCGCTGCGGCGGCCGAGGACTTTGAGTTCCGTCTCTCCGTGATCCGATAATGCGGTGTCAGCGTGATCGCATTTTGCAATTTTCATCCGCCAAATTGCGGCGAATCGACCAAAGCTGTACGCTTTCGATTGCACGGGGTGAACTTTTTCAAGCAAGTACCCGTCGGATTCCTCTGAACAAAGTGCCACTCGAGAAATCACGCGAAGACGACTGGTTGTTTACTGGCTGTACAAAGTGCATTCTCTCTCGCTCTGAATCGTCAGGCAAATATTTTTATTCGGCGTTGCAGGATGAATCCGACGTATCCCATCGGCCGGTAAACGAGTGCACTCTAATCGATAGAGATGTGCTCGAGTGCGAATGAAGAATCTACTTTGGCGTTGAATCAAGTTCAATGTTCATTCTTCATTTCAAATGGCAGCGTCTGGACTATCGCCTCCCGCGCTTTCGCTGGGATTTCACTCGGAGCGATTTAATTTCTCATCGACTGGCTGCTTGTGCGCCACGCGTGATATCGAGTTTCACGGCGAGGCCGGATTCGGCAATAACGACGCAGTCGCGTCGCGCGAGGGTTATTCTCTCATTTCTCAGCGTATCGGTAAGCAACGAGCGGGGCGTTATTGTCGGCCGGGAAAGGGGGAGAGGAAGAGAAAGAGGAAGAGAATGAGAACGAAGGTGGAGAGAAGAGCGAATCGGGCGACGACCGCGGCGGCTAAATAAATTTGCCGGTGCCCCAAACTGAAATCCACTCAAGATCTTAGATTAGAGTCTGGCCGAGGTAAAGCCCGGATCCAGACAACTCGTACAACTCATCGAGAGTCGGTCTGATCCAATTTATTAGTACATCCCGGCTGCGGCAGCAAGATAGAGAGAGAGAGAGAGAGAGGGAGAGAGAGAGAGAGAGAGGAAGAGAGAAATAAAGAAACACCAGGACTCCGCTGGGCGACCTTTGCGCTCAGGACGCGCGCGAGCACGACTTCTTTTCACGACACGCTTCGTCGTTGTGACGTGCGCTTTGTTTAGCTGACAACAGAAAAGCACAAAGGAGGGCGAGCGCGACCGATCTCTCTGTTTTGAGTGCGTGCATGCGCGCGCGCGGGGAGGGGGCGGGTGAGCAGAGTGACGTTAATACGCGCGTGTCAACTACTAACGAAACGTAAAATCGCGCGTTGGACGCGCGCGACCACCGACGTGCGCGTTCAGCCGCGTCGTGTTTTCCCTGGGATTTGAAAGTCGGATTTAATGAACGCTTCCGCGAGCAGTTAATTGCCGAAATTGTCGGATCTCGATCGTCGCGCTTAATTCTCGCGCGTGAGAGCTGCCTCTTCGTGGCGGCTGTCAATTTGCGCGTGGAATGCTTCGGATATATTTCCCTGATATTTTGGGACGCTCGGGCGCGCGTCCAAGTGGCCGATTTTTATTTGGAAAATATTTCGCATTTATTTCGGGAGCAATGTTATTCCTTCAAAAAGATATACGCGCGGGAGGTATCCGGCAGATTTCACTTTATTGCGCATATTGAAGGATATTTCTCTGCTAATGAAGATTATTATTATTATTATTATTATTATTATTATTGCGGAGGGAGTATTCGATTGCAGCCTTATTTTGATATTTTTATACGCGGACGGACGAGGGGGGAATGCATTTATGTAAAGAAAAAATGTGATTCCGTAAAAAAAAAAAAATGTTTAATGGACTTTTCAATTTTTTTCATTCGAAAATAAATTTCTCGTGTAAAAATAGCGGGCTCGTACCATCGCTATATGTATCGCTTAATTCCTACTTAAATTTCTGACATCGATTTCGCGTCAAGTCGCTTTTTCCGCTCCCTTCCGCCCGCCTCCCCCTCCCCCCCACGCCTCTCTGTCACCTCTTCCCCTCCGTACATTTTCACATGCGCGTAATTTAAACGCGGTGTGCCGGGGGTTGTGGAGGGGAGACGATTCAAAATTATTTTAAACGCGCGTCACGCCGCCGCATGATCGCTCGTATCCGTTGCACTCCGCGGCTCGGCTCCGTCGGCGGCGGCGGCGGCGGCGGCGACGGGATTGCGCGGCGCGGCGCGGCGGGGGGAGCGACGCGCCACGGTACCCGTGGAAAAACTACACGTAGAACGAAATCTAATGACACCCCGACCGTTACTAATGACACTAACGAGGTAGTTAGATGTTAGAGCGAATGTCGGTGGGTCTGGACCGTGGGCCGAGTGAACCCACTTACCGACTTATCACGTAGTTACCTAATCTGTTTATCCCAACGGGGGGAGGGGGCGGCCGAGGGGAAGGCCCACGGCTACGAGCCGGGGCCGGGGGGAGTCGTCGGTGGAGACGGGGACGGCGCGGGGGCAATCGGGAGCTGGAAGGGTGCCCGGACGTCCCTGAGGACGCTCGTTCTCCGAGCCGCCCCCGGACCTCCCCGCCGCCGCCGCTGCCTCCGCCACGACGCCCCGTTCGATCATCTACCGGACTGCCTCCCACATTGATGAGCCTCAATGGGCGTTGTATTTTAAAGAGAATAAAGAGAACAGCGCGTCCGCGACTGCTCTCTCGCGCTTCCCACGTTCTGGGATTCATCGCGGATCGCGCGCGCGCGCGCGCGCGTTCCAGCGCGGCGGTGGCGGCGGCGGCGCACTTTCCGCCGCCGCGTGTCCTCGGGGTTGCGAGGACGATGCCAATGAGAGTGCACGTGGCAATTAACGCTGAACGTGAGTATCGACGAGCGATGTGCCACACTGTGCTGTGTTTCATTAAAGCATACTTTCCATGTAATTTCTTACCTTATCTATATTCTCCGCTTAATCGTGTAATTAAATGCATTGGAACGAGAGGAAAAATCGAGAGAGATCCTTGCATCTCAAGTTATATTTATTTACCGTCGACTAAACTTTAATCGGATCACCACGCCGAATCATCACGCCGCTCAAGGCGACTCGAACTTTGCGAAAATTTATTCAACTTTGCTCGAGGAATTAAAGAGAACCGAGAGGCTGAAATTAGGAAAGGTGACGCACGCACAAGCGACTGGAAAATTAGCGTTTACCGACAAACTAATCGCAGCTGGATTAACGTTCATTGCATCGGCAACAAAGAGAAATTAAATCGGGCGTAACAACGTTCACCCCCGTGTCCTTTCCACCCTTTCGAGCCGAGGTCGCGGAAGCGACCGTGGTCGCGGTCGTCGTCGTATCGTGGATCGTCATACGCGCGACGCCTTAACGATGAATCTCGCGTCCGCGTTTCCGCGATTAAGCGCGCCGCTTAATCGCGGAAACTCGCGCGCTGTGCGAGTCAAGTCCCGCGGTCTGACGGATCGCGTCGTTATACGCGAGCGAAATTCGTCCGCGGGAATGGAATACGACTTGGAAAACGATCGGTGAATAGGCAAACTGCCGTCAAAGTTCTGGGTAGCAGCGAGTCTCCGGCACTGCCGGCGGGACGCGGTTTAACTGGAAGTTGGCTCCAAGTGCAAATTAAGTTTAGCGGCCGTCCAGTTTGTAGCGTCCACTTTGCGTAACTCGGTCTAGTCGGTAATGTAACTTCATCGATGTGTTCCGCTAGAGCAAGTGCCGGCACAATCAGTCCGCCCTCCTCGCCCTCCCTCCCGCCGGCCTTTCCCTCCTCCTCTATGTACCACTCGCGCCCGACTTCTCGCTCTTTCTCCGCGTCTCCCGATCGTGCGCGAGCGCGTCCTTCCTTTTCCAACTGCGCGATTTCTTCCCGAGCTCGCTCGCATTGTTACGTCGCGTTGTTGCGCGGAAATTATCTTGAAAACCGTGACTTGAGGGAGAAGGAGGGAGGGAGGGGGAGAGAGAGAGAGAGAGAGAGAGAAAGAGAGAGAGAAAAAGAAGAAGGTTAATATCGATTGCTTCAGAGAGCGAGGAGGCGTCGTCGGTTCGAGATTGAAAAAGTTAAGCCCACGCGAGCGGAGAAATGAAGATTTCGCGGGGGATTCCGTTGACGCGTTGATGCGCACACGTTTGCACTTCTCCACGCGTTGTCCGTTCCTCTATTAAAGTTTCCCGCGGAGGTCTCGCGACGCGCGATTCTCTTCGACTGCACGACTCTTCGACCGAGCGTCGTGCAATATTAATCCCGCAAAAGTCATCGTTTCGTCGCTCGGCCCGGCGACTCTTCGGGGGAAACCGAGACTCTGCGAGTCTGGGAATCCCGCGCGTCGCGTTTCACCAAAGTCAAATCGCGCGATTTTACACACACATAAATACACATACACACACACACACACGAGGTACGCTCTTTCTCCTTTACGAAGTGTATCAATTGAGACATTCGATTCGCCAAGAGGTCGACGAGGGACCACGAGGGTTGCGGAGTGACGGGAGGGGGGGAGGGGGGGGCCAACGGGTGAAGGAGCTCGAGGTAGAAATATCGGCGCTCGCGGCCGCGGGAGGAAGAATCGAATTTTTACTTACAGGGGTGCGTCGGGGCGAAAGGATACTCCAGGGACGGCGGTAATCGCGGCGCCGGGAGGCCCGGGGGGCAGTGGTAGCAGAACATGCCTCCGGCCCTGGCCACCGCGCCGCCCCCCGGCCCGCCACCCCCTCCCGCACCGGTCGGCACCTGCGGTTGACTCGACGACTGTTGTTGCTGTTGCTGCTGCTGTTGCTGATGATGCTGGTGGTGGTGGTTATTGTTCGGCTGGTGGGCGTGGACCGAGCCAATCTGCAACAACCGCACACACGTGCGCCGTTTGATTTTATGATCTTGTCCGCGGTGAAAAATGGAAGATGGATAGATGGATAGACGGATAGATATAGATAGAGAGAAAAAATAGAGAGAGAAGGATCGCCGCGATCAGCGCTTTTTTCAGCGATCGACGCACAGCGCTCTTTCCCCGCGCGCGCGCGCGCGCAAACGGAAATGGGAAATTCGGTATCTTCTGGCGCTGCGGAAAATAAGACATCTTTTTCAGCGGACAACCGTCGACGAACTCGACGAATCAGACGGCTGATGGTTGAATCAGACACGCTTCCAGTCTCGCGTTCTCCAACATCCCCGTCCCTTCCGGGCACCGGTGAAATTTTTCCACCGAGCGATACCCGAGTGCTATCGCGACAGTCCCTCCGTCTCACCCCTCCTGCCGCTGCCCGCCCCCTGTCCATCGGTAAGCAGGGAGAGCATCGAAGCCACTTCCGATTTCGTCGAGCTCACGGCGACGCGCGGATTTTCGAAAGCGGGGTGAAACCTGATTAAGAGGGAGCGCGACAGCGGCGTGCTGCAGGCTGGGTGGTTACGAGGGGGTGGGAGGCGTGGAGGGGTACGGATGGGTGGCCGATTACGCCAATCCCCATTAGAGGGATTGTAAACTCGCGTAAATAAATAATGTATGTATCGGCGAGAGAGGAGCCGGCACGGGGTGAAAGAGAGAGGGAGGGGGAGAGAGAGAGAGAGAGAGAGAGAGAGAGAGAGGGAGAGAGAGAGGGAGGGAGAGAGAGAGAGAGAGAGAGAGTGAGAGCGAGCGACGCGGCGTATAGAGGGCTCTTTGCCTAAGCAGGCATCGGTCGTGGAACTTAATAAACGGCGGAGTTATCAATTTATAATGGGTCGGCATGTCGCGCATGCTCGTGCCTACGGGGCCCGCCGCCCGTCGTTTCTCTCGTTATATAACGGCGTGCACGCGAGTGGCTTTAGAGAACCGATGTACACTAACTATACCCGGTATCTCGACTCTCTCTCTCTCTCTCTCTCCCCCTCTCTGCCTTCCTCCCTCGCTCGCTCGCTCGCTCGCTCGCTCGTTCGTTCTGTCTATCCTTCTCTTTGCTCGTCCCCCGATCTCGCCCTCCCCCCTTATATCTCTATGCGTTTCTATGTGGCTGTTTATCTCGCTCGCTCCATCACGGCGTCTCCCCTTCGTCTCCCTCTCCGTCTATCCGCCGGTGCTACACTATGTCTCTCCCTCCTCTCTTTGCGGCTCCGGTACGAAGGGACAAATTGAATTTTAGATCATGGCGTGTTCCTGTGGGGTCCGCGGATAGAGAGGGACACAGAGAGAGAGAGAGAGAGAGAGAGAGAGAGAGAGAGAGAGAGAGAGAGAGAGAGAGGGAGAGAGGAAGCGAGCGAGCAGGAGGGAGAGAGAGAGAGAGAGAGAGAGAGAGAGAGAGAGAAGTGCAGAGGCGGACGTCGAGATGATACTAATTGAAATTTGAAATTGATATTAGCGAATTATTACCCCTCCCGTCGTTCTGCTTGGCCCAACGCAATTACGCCCGCGTGTCGGGTATCAAAAGTAATTGCTGCCAAACTTAACAAAATTCGAGCAATTCGCGTTTCGGCCGTCTGACCTCCGGCGAAAAAGACGCGACGCACGCTGTGCAACACACAGCTCACGCCCCCCCCCCGCTTTCCTTCCTCCCCCTTTTGCTACATCGCGTACACGCTTAAACGCACTTTTTTTGCCAAATTCACTTTCGACGTAACGCTAAATCGCGTTACGTCGCTCCCGCTGGCCGTGGCCACTGCTAGCCGGCCCATAGAAAAATGCACACCCCCTCGATAAAAGCGAATCGAAAGTGTTAATTTTCACGCGTTTACCTGCCACTCGCTCTCTCCCAATCTCTTTGTCTTCATGCGTTCGCGTTAGAAACTGGCCAACTCGCGAAATACGGCCGACGGCGATCGGTCGCCAACGGGAGGCGGAAAAGCGACCGATTGATCGACCTCGCGATCGACGTGATTCGATGAACGGGCAGTCACACTCGAACAGTCGCAACGTATTCATCCTCCCTCCCCTTCCCCCTGTCTATTCACCGCCGTCCCGCTGGCCGTAAATTCGACCGTCGTGGGTGGCGGTGGCCCATTGGTTTTGCGTTTGCAGAGAGTTAGGCGCATAATGACGGGACATACGCAACGACAGAAGGGACGAAATGTAGCGAGGCTAATCCGCGAAGGGGGGATGGCGCGGGGCCCGCGGGTGTCCCGGCGGTACTCGAGAGGTGGCCCCCGCGGGGGCTGCTCGTCGATGCCACCCTCGCGCGCTACCAGCATACGTGCATCCGTCGCCTCCCTTCCCCCCTCCTTCTCACCCTCGGCAAAATAGGGCCGGCATGTGGTCCTAGAGTGTATTTGCGGTGTTCAACCAGCCGGGCGAAATATTATGTGCCAGTGTTTTATTGTGCGATCATCTCCCGACGACGCCCCACTGTGTGCGCGCGCGCGCGCGCGCGCGTTGCGTGCGAGGGCGAAGGGATTGTGGCTTCGAGTGCGGAGCGTGTTTACACATTGGCACACGCCGGCGGATTTGTTACACGCTCGTTACACGTTGGTTTACCGAAGCCGATGAGGGAAGCGGCGGGAGAGCGAGAGAAAGAGAGAGAGGATACGATGATGTTTGAGGTGAAGAGAATGAGGGGTTGAACGGAACAATGCGTTTTTCAGCGTGATTCTTGCTGGTCCGCTTTCAGACAGTTCAGATGGGGTTTGACACTCCGAAATTCCGTAACTGATCCGTGCACAGACGACAGGAGGGGGAAGGAGAAGAGAGGGCTTACTCTCGAGTCTCTGTCTCGTAGTGAAATCGAGCGCGAGTCAAACTTCATCGAGCCGAATTGCATCCACTCGGTGATATTAATGATAATAATAATTATTATTGAATAAGCCTTTAGTGTGTACGGGAAAAGTAATACAGAAAAGTTATACAGAAAAAATATCAGAGATGAAACCAAGAGCGCACTCTGAATTTATCGCGGCGAAATCGCACTCGAAACGAGTGGAGGTTCACTCAAACTCGAGTGACTCGGCAGTCGCTTTACTTCTCGAGTGGAATTTCATTCGGTGAGATTCGGGGAGAGCGGAATTTGAGATGACAAAGGGAAAGTTGCGGCAGACAATAGGCGTTTGCGCGTCGGCGCAATTTTTCTTCATTTCCCACATCGACAAGATTTCATGTCCTATGATTCCTTTAGCAGCGGTCCAAGGGATCCACGACGCGTCGGAGTCGGGTAAATCGCACCGTCGGCTTTCGGATTTTCAAGTACGACGAGCCGGCCGTAACGCACTCGTCTCCGTCCGTTAAACGACGAAAAGCGTCTCGAGTTAGCGTTCCGACGCTAACTACACACGCGTTATGAATTAATGAGAGTTAAACCGGATAGGGGCGTATCGCGCACTCCGGAGAGGCGCACGAAGACACACACACACACACACACACAGACACATACACACATACGCACACAGAAGAGAGGAGCGCGCGCGGTTCGGTTCGGCGCGGCGCGAACAATGCGCGAGTGAGCGGCCGGGTGTCGGATGGCCGGGTGTTTAGATTCCGCGCGTATAACACTACGCTCATTAGAGCGCGGCGCTAATTGCATAATTGGTGCCGGCAATTACGGAGCAAAGCGCGGTGCCGCATCGGGGAGCTCGGCGGCGGTGGCGGCGGCGGCGGCGGCGGCGGCGGCGGCGACGGCGGCGGCTGACGTCAACATCCAATAATTCGGCACGCGACGACAATCGCGCGCGCGCGCGCGCTGCACCGCCACGCCATTGCGCAAATAGCAGGAATCGCAATTAAAAGCGATAATTCTGTAATTAGCTTTCCGTCGCGCGCTCCTCCTCCTCCTCCTCCTCCTCCTCCTCCTCTTCCTCCTCCTCCTCGTCCCTCCGCTCGCGGCCACCCCGTTTGCGCGCTACCATTCCGACGCGACAGATACGCCGCCCTCGATCTCCGCGCGTGCGATACTCAGGGACGCTTGATTTTAATATGGGATTATCGATACCTGCGCGCGCGCTCTCTCGTTTCCGCTATCGAATAAAACGGACATGCATATTTCGTGTTTTCCTCGGGAGCCGATTGTCAGCGACAGATATCTGCGCACTCGCGTGCGTGTATCTTCTAAATTTCTGACGATGCAATCACGCTCAGAGCTGCAGCGAAAATATCGCCGCGCGGGGTCAAAGGTAAAAAGGCAACTCGAGCAAGTGATATGAAGTTAGAATGGGCTCTTGACTCGCTCGGTCGAATGTTTCGATTCAAGTTCGTTTCTCCTGACGAGACGACGGAGTGCAGATCGGACTCGCTCCTCAATTTCGAACAAAACGGACAGGCATTTTTGTCGCGTTGCTCTCGAGAGCGTCGGTACTCAAAGGTACGGCGGTGCCTGCAAATTTTCAACAGCAGAATCTCAGCCGGAGCACGAGTGCGAGCAAATTCACTCGGAGCGATCGCGAAGGTACAGTCGCGCAAAGTCGGGAGTGAACGTGACTCAAGTAAGTAACTCGAAGTTGGAGTGGATTCTTGATCCATTCGAGTGAATGTTCCAGTTGATTAGAGCTAATTTGTTCCAGCGGGACGATAACGAGTGGATCAGATTCACTCTTGAGTTTCGAGCGAATCTATTCAGCCAATGATTCAGAATCCATTTGGTATGAGCGACTCGCTCCTCCCGGCCTGCGAGTGGAATTTCGCTCGAGGAATCTCCGACAACGAACTGGAAAAATACGAGACGATACGCCCGCGGCGGTCATTTCGAAGATAACGATTTCGGGCGATTGTCAATTTTCGCGAGGATATCGCCGAGCAGCAGAGTCTCGGTGATCTCCGGTTCTCCGGCTCTCTCATCGCGAGGAGAGCGCGAGCGTGCGCCGTCAGCGCGGCATCGCGTGCGACGCCGAGCGAGAAATTCGTGGAGCTGCAATTAACCGCGGCCGACGCGCGTCTCATACGTCGG